TTCAAATTGTGGTGGAACTGGGTACCTCTTTGGGGGTGGGGAATTTACCTCAATCCTCATCTTATAGCATACATAAAATTAACTTGAAATGAACATAAGAGGTAAAAACTATTAACTTGTATAAGAAAATATATTTGAGAAAAAAGTATTTGGGACACTGGGTTAGACAAAAAAATATTAAACAGACCAATGAAAACCAAAATTGGTAGAATACTTGTTAGGTGCTGTTGAGTTGGTTCCAACTCCTAGCAACTCTGTGTACAACAGAATGAAATAGCACCTGGTCCTGTACCATTCTCACAATCATTATGTTTGAGCCCATCACTGCAGCCACAGTATCAATTCATTTTGTGGAAGGTCTTCCTCTTCTTCCCTGACCCTCTTCTATACCAAGCACTACGCCCTTCTCCAGGGATTGGAGAATAGACTACATCAAAATTAAAAACTTTTTGTTCTTTGTAAGACATAGTTAAACTGAAAAGGCAAGCCAAACATAGGAACAAAATATTTGCAAAACACGTTATCTTACAAAGGGCTGGTATCTAGAAAAAAGAAAGAACTCTTACAACTTACTACCAAGAAGACAGATAACTTGATTTTAAAAATTGCAAAAAGAAAAAAAAAAAAAGAACATTTCACAAAAGGATATAGATGAATGTTCAGTGTGGTGGTGGTTGTTAGGTGCCATTGAGTGGATTTTGACTCACAGTGACCCCATGTGTAGGGTAGTCTTTACGGGAGATTGTAGCCCTTATGGAAGTATATCATCAGGTCTTTATCTCTCAGAGCCAACAGGTGGGCTTGAACCACCAGGGCTCCTTGAGTGGACAGTAGCACATGAAGACAGCCAATTACTTGATTATCAGGAAAATGCACATCAGAATCCAAAGAGATACCAATATCAACCTATGACAGTGGCTAAAATAAAAAAGGGTGGCAATATTGTGTTGATGAGGATGTAGAATAACTGGAACTCTCACACATTGCTGATGGGAATATAAAATGGTACAACTCTTTTGAAGAATGTGACAGTATGCTATAAAATTAAACATGCTGTTATTAGTTTTCTAGGGCTACTGTTAACAAAATATCACAAATCAGGTGGCTGAATGCAATAGAAATTTATTTTCATTGTTGTGAAGTCTGAGCTCAAGGAGTCAACAGGGCTGTGCACTTCTCTTTGAAAGCTCTAGGGGAAGATCCTCCTTTCTCCCAAGCTTCTGGTGATACACGGCAATCTATGGTGTTCTTTGGCTTATAGATGTATCACTCCAATCTACTTCCATCTTCACATGACTAATCTTCCCTCTGTCTGTTCTCCTTCTATAAGGACACTATTCATATTGGATTAAGACCCATCCTACTGTTAACTGATAACAATTCAAAGACACTATTTCCAAACAAGATCATATTCATAGTTATTAGGTGTTAGAACTTCAACATTTCGTTTTTGGGGAAGTAATTCAATTCCTAACACTGGCCACATGAACCAGCAATCAAACATATGCCCATCTGAAGATCTGTATTTGGATATTCACAGCTACATTATTTATAATAACCAAAATGCAAAAACCCCATTGTCCATCAATTGATGGATAAACAAACTGTGGTATATTAATACCATGTCCTACTATTTCATAATGAAAGGGAACAAAGTATTAAAATACACAACATATGCATGTCCTAAAAACCTTGTGCTGAAGTCAAACACAGAAGACTAGATATTGTATTGTTCCATTTGTGTAAATTCTAGAAAAGGCCAAATACAATGTTAGAAAGGATATCGGTAGTTGCCTGGGATGAAAGGTGTGGGAGAAAGAATCAACTGCAAGGGATCCAGAGAATGAGTTTTCCAGAATATCCATAAATACTGGATGCAGGCCATACCCATAAATAAACTCCCTTTTCAACTGATTGGCTGCTCACACCAGCGTCAATCATGGAGGATGATTATGTATCTGCCAAACCAGAGAATCATGTCCTTGCAAAGTTGACACATAACCTTAACTATTACACATCACAATCAATTTTAGAATATTTCATCATCCTTCCCCCAAATCCCATTCCCATCAGCAGTCATTCTCCTCCCTGACCTTTACCTCCACAGTCCTAGGTAATCAAAAATCTGATTTTATACATTGGCCTATTCTGAGCATTTCATACAAATCGAATTATGTATGTGGTCATTTGTGACTGGCTTCTTTTATTCAGCATGTTTTCAAGGCTCACCATTTGTTTTGGTTACACACTGCTGCTCTGTCAAGCATGTACCACTTGGAGGCCAGAAGTCCGAGTTCAAGTTGCCAGGCTCTAGGGCAAAGATTTCCAAATGACCTTGGGCTTCAGCTCTGCCTCTTGCTCCTGGCCCACTGAAGATGGAGGCTTTCTTTACACAGGTAGTAACTACTGGCTGCTGAGGCTGACAAACCCAGGTGGACAAGCGAAAAGGCACAGACAGTCCTGGTATCACCAAACCACATGGCAGGCCGTTGATTCAAGTCCATTAAAAGTCCCCAAATCGTCAGATTATGGCAGGCTGCTGAATGAAGACTCGGCTACATGCAGGCAAGTGTGCCAAAAAGCTAGAAACCTGCCTCAAAGCTGCTTCTTATATACTGGAAGCAGCCCACATCCCTAAAGCAGCTACTCAGTTGCTCCAGTAGACTCCACAACAGAGCTGATTACCAGTCTCATCACGGGGAATAACTACTTCCAGTTGCCCAGCCACCCAAAACCAGGCCCAGCCAAGTTGACACATGACCTTAACCACCACACCCATGTTACAGCATGTATCAGTACTTCATTCTTTTCCATTATCAATATTCCTTGTATGGATATACCACATTTCGTTTATTCATTTCTCAGGTGACAGACATTTGTTTTTAGTTTTGGGCTATAAGTAATGATGCTATGGAATTTTTGTACCACTTTTGTGTTTTCATTTCTCTTGGGTAATGTAAGAGTGGAATTGCTGGTTCATAGAACTGTTTAACTTTTTGTGGAACCATCAGACTGCTTTCTAAAGCAGCTGGTCCATTTTAAATTCCTACCCAGAGGTAAGTGGATTCCAATTTCTCCACATCCTCACCACTTTTTTTTTTTTATATATATAGCCACTCTGGTATCTCACTGTAGTATTGATTTGCATTTCCTTAATGGTCAATGATGTTGAGACTTTTTCTCATATGATTATTGGCTATGTGTACATCTTTGGATAAATGTCTATTTGGATATTTTGTCCATTAAAAAAATTGGGTTGCCCTTTTATTAAGAGTTTTTAATATTTTCTCAAGTCCCTTATCAGATATACAAATGGCCAAGTTTTTTCTCCCATTCTGTGAATTGTCTCTTCATTTTGATGGTGTCCTTTGAAACAAAGTTTCTCATTCGGATGAAGACCAATTTATTTTTTTGTGCTTTCAGTAGCATATAAGAAACGCTTATCTGAATATTTTGTACCCTAAAGGGCACAAAAATTTACCTGTTTTTTCCTGAGTTTTAAAGTTTCACCTCTTACATTTAGATTTTTAATCCATTTTCAGTTAGTTTTTGCATATGGTGCCAGGGCCCAAATTTCATTCTTTAATATGTGGATTTTCAGTTGTACCAGCACTATTTGTTTAAAAACTCTTCATTCTCAATTGTTTTGACAACTTTGTTGAAAATCAATTGACCATGAATGGGAGGGCTTACTTCTGGACTTCTAATTCTGTTCCATTAATCACTATGTCTGTCCTACGTTCGTACCACACACTTCATCAATGTATCTTTGTAGTAAGTTTTGAAATCAGGTTTTTTGGAAAAAAAAAAAAATTTTTCCCCATGATTGTTTGGCTATTCTGGGTTTCTTAAGTATCTGTATGAACTGCAGAATCAGCTTGTCTGCAAAGAAACCAGCTAGAAATGATGGTGACTGCACTAAATCTATACATCAATTTGGGGAGTACTGCCATCTTAGTATTAAGCTTCTAATCAATAAACCTAACTTTTCACTTATTTGTTGTTATGTGCCTTTGCTTCACTTATTTAGGCTTTCTTTATTCCATGATATTTTAGTTTTCAGAATATGAATTCTCCATTTCTTATTAAATATTTATTCCTAAGTATTTTATTTTTTGATGCTGTTAAAAATGGATTTTTCTTAATTTCATTTTGATATTATTCATGTGAATGTGAGGAAATGTAATTGATTTTTATATATTGATCTTTTATTCTGCAACCTTGCTGAACTCATACATTATTTTGAATTTAGTATTTTAGGTTTGTTAGGATTTTCTTTATATAAAAGCTTGTCTTCCCTAAATAATGATAGCTTTATAAGTTAATAAAAGTCAACACTGTATGTATTACACAGATTCATTTTATTAAAAGCAAAAGTAAGGGAAAGAAAAAAGCAGAAAACCCAACAATTAGGAGGCAAGAATGCTGATCGCTACTCACACCTTTATCAATTAACTGTGTGATCTTAACAAATTTCTTATTCTCTTCTGGTTAAAAATTACATTTTTCACATCTTTTTTCTATTGGACATAACTCTGAACATATGGGGACATATATTGAGTAGCTTTCCTCAGTTCACTCAGCATGACAGGCATGAGTTTCACTACACTTTTCACATCCTCTCTTATTTTGATTTTTGCCTCTCATAGACGACAATAAGGATATCAAAACTGGAAAAGCAAACCAAAGTTATCTTCACAGTGAGAGAAAGCATCATGCTCAAAAGCTATAACTAAAGAATGATTAATTAGGATATTAAAAATGGCAAAAGCGAATGGTAAAAATACATATTGTCTGGTTTTCACCACAAAGCATCATATTTTAAAACTTAAATTTTAGGTAACATTTTTTTTTAAATTATAATTTTGATTTAAAATGGCCAAGGTGCTTCATGAAATATAGAACCACAAAAATTTTTCTACCAAATGTTAATTAGAATACTAGAATATGAAATTATTAGAAATTAAAATTTTCTAATCAGAAATATTTCTAATTTCATTTCAAGTGCTTTGGAACCTTAATTTTAATCTCTGACATAAAGGAAGAGGACTATCCAAATAAGTATCAGGGTCTTCTTTTTCCTTATGACATTGTAGAAAACTCAGAGAACTTTGTGCTGGATCTAGGGAACAGTTTTCTTTATTTCCAGCTATTTTATAAGCCTGGGCATACGGTTCAGTTTCTTTAATATCCATTTCATGGCTACTCAGTTTGTTAGTGTCATTTTTCTTTAATTGCACTGGGTTACCTCTCTGAGAATACTGCTGCATTCTGTGAGTTGTATATTTAGTTTTCCCAAACCCTGGGACACTTTCTTCATCAGAGGAATGTCTGTCAAGGCAAACATTCTTCATGACAATTCTCTGAGTGGTTTGGATATCAACCTTTCTACCATGATTTAAAGCAGTATTTATTTTATAGTTTTCTTGAAGCAGCTGGTTTCCATTTAGAACTTCAGAATTTCTGGATTCATTATGCAAATAAATTGTTGGATGATTCTTTGAAAGATATGATGGACAAGTGGAACTACTATTAGCAATGCAAGGTTCTTTTACCTCAAATAGAGACAAAGCTTGCAGGTCAGTGTCTAGTTGTGCTTTATCCTGAGAATATGATGATTTTATTCGTATTCGCTCCTTTAAAGGCAAATCTTGAAGATGTAAATCAGTACTGTCAGAAAGTAGATGCTCTTCAGGACTAGTCTTCTGAAGATCCCCATCTGATACTTTACTGATGTTTGTGGAACACCATTCTGATTCACATGATAATTGTTTTGAGATATTTTCAAAACTATTGGGGATGGCCTTTTCAAGTTCTGAATTTAAACTGTGAGAGACTATGTTCTTTTGAATAGCTGGGGAATTACTAAAGGAAGTACTTTCCCAGTCAATGGTGCTCAAATGTAGATCAGCAATCTCAGATACATTATGAGATAAGGGATTGGGTTGTGTAGATTCTGAAGTTAGAAAGTCATTGACAGTTTTAATTTGATGTACAGCCAAAGGTCCTGGAGAAGATTCATCTTGTATATCTGAACAGGAAGCATCTTCAAGCAAAAGCAAGCTATTCAATGACTGAGAAATAGATTCCTGGGGTAGCTGAGAATCTGGAGACATTTCCAAATATAATTTAGAATTCTGCTTAGGAAAGGTTTCACGTGTGGGTTTTAAATTCATGTGTGGCTGAAAATTTATTACATTATCTGATTCTGACCAATTATTTTCTTTAGGTTTAATTTTCATACCTGAAAAGAATAAAAATATAATTAAAATCTATTTATTTTCCTTAAGTTGGATTAAAAACAAACTATAGCATTCAGACTGGAAATATTCTATATGAGCAGTGCCTTTTTTGTCCCAATGCATTCCCAGAAACTGCCATAAAGCCAAATTATCTGTATAGTATTTTCCTTTGGAAACAATCTTATATCAAGTTGCTCTCCTCACCAAGTTCTGGGAAATAAATAAAACTTATTTATAACCAAAGGGAGTTCCGGTGGCATAGTGCCTAAGGCATCTGACTGCTAACCAAAAGGCTGGAGGTTCAAACCCACCAGCTACTCCTTAGAAGGAAGACTGGGCAATCTACTTCCCTAGAGATACCGTCTTGGCAACCCAAGGAGGGGTCGCTATGAGTTGGATTCAACTTGATGGCAGTTAGTTTGGTTTGGTTTTGGTTATTTATAATGCAAAGTATGTTATACAGAGTACATATTTAATAATTGGTTAACAAAATTATTATTATTAATACCTGGGTAAGTTAGTAACACAGAGCAGAGCTGTTCGCTTTTCAGCATTGAAAGAAAATATGTGAAGATACAGAAGCAAGAGCACAATTTTTACTTCATAGAAGTTTCAGCAAAATTTAGACAAGACAGACTCAAATACAAGTTGCTCTTTTACAATGTTTGAATGTGCCCTATATAGCTATCAAATCTGATACTTACTTTTTTGTTTTTTTCCTTTAATTTCTAACTTCTGCTTTTGGTAAACAGCAACAATCTCAGGATAAGCTGTTTCAAATAATGATTCTTCTTCTACTGTTTGGAGAATCAATTCTCCATGCTGTTTATCTTCTGTAACATAATGTTCTAAAAGATTTGTAATACACAGTAAATCTTTAATTACAGATTTCATAAATTCATTTTTCTGGATAACTAAGTTTAGCACATAAACTAAGCCATCCACAAATGTATAACTCATTGCAAATCTTTCTTTACAACATTTCTATTAAAATAAAATCACTTCAGGTTCATTATATTTATTATTAGTGAAGGCCTATTTAAACTGATACAAGCAAATTATGAAATTAACCAGAGTACATGCGCTATGCCTCTCTTAATCTTTTATATACAAATGTTTTATAAATGTGTATGAGATTTGCTAAATATATATGGTTAATTGTTTCCTAGAAAAGATTCTGCCCAAAGTGAACACATACCAGGCTTTTCCCATTCTATTTCAAAGCAATGAACTCCATTTCTGATGCGGGTCTTTACAATTCTGAAAAGCAAATGCATATGATAATGTCAAATTGCATGAGTTATTTGGAACTTATTTAGAACTTTCCAATTTGTAGACTGAATCATTCAGAATTACTCCATCAATCCTCTGGCATTTACTACTATGTTGAAAGATGTGCTATAGGGTTGTCACTCTTTCAAAGGTTATCTCTTTTCTTTGATAATACCTTCAGACATTTTATTTTGAAAATATTCAAATCTTTAGAAAAGTCACAGTACTGTGCAATGAATACTCATATACCTTTCACCTAGATTCAACAATTAACATTTTGCCACATTTGCTTTCTTTTTCCATATATACTTTTATTCTTAGAACAAACTGAAAATTAATTGCAGACTGGCCTCATGACACATCACCCCTAAATATCACAGCCAATCTATGTAGAGTTTTCTCCTACATTTGCCACAATACACCTATCATACTTAGGAAATTTAATATACAGTCCATATTCCTATTTTCTCAGATCACACCATACCGATTGTCACATCTCTTTAATCTAGAAAAATTTTCTAGTTATTATTTTGTCTTTTGTGACACCTGTTTTTTTTTTTTTCCTCCAAATTGTGGTTTTGGTGAATGTTTACAAACCAAGTCAATTTTCCACTCAACATTTTATACACATTTTGTTTCATGACATTAATTGTAATTCCCTCAGTGTAAAGCTCTCTTCCCACTTTCTTCCTGGGTTCCCCATTTCCATTTGTCCTTCTTCTGCCCCTTCCTGCCTTCTGAGGTTTTGTTTTTGGGGAAATGCTGCCTTTCAGTCTCATATAGTTAACTGTTCTGAGGAATAATTTCCTTACGAGTGTTACTGTTTCGCTGAAAGGCAATCCCCAGAGGTGACACCACATTTTTGAAGAGTCTAGGATGTTTGTTTTGCAGAATGTTCCCTACTCTGGATTCATCTGATTATTTTCTCATTAGATTCAGAAACATTTTATAAATGATGTGGTGTCTTTCTCAGTGCACCCTGTCAAAGGCACATGAATGAAATCAGTCTATCAACCCATTATTGGCCATTCACTATTTAATTATGTGATAGCCACTGGATTTCTCTTGAAGGTACCCTTTTACTTCTGTAATTTATGAAGCGATACTTGAGACTATGTTGATGATGTCCACTTGACTTCTCTACTTTTGAAGGTACCATTTTTCCTTTGTAATTAGTCTGTGGAGTGATATTTGAGACTGTGTGATAATCCTTTTTTTGTAGCAATTTTTCACGTAATGGTTTTAAAATCTATTGTTGATTTTGGTCTGAATGGTTTGGTAACTTTTAAGATTTTCCCTTTATCCTTGATGTCTACAACACGTCTGGGTGTGGATTTATTTGTATTTATCATGCTCGTATTAGGAGCATAATTTCACCCGACAACTTCCTCACATTTTGGAAAACTCTCATGTGTATCTTCAAAAATCTCTTCTCCACCCTTCTTTCTATTAGTTTCTAGAAATACATTGAGGATACTCAAACTATTCTTTAAGCATTAAGTATTTTTATCTGTGTCTCTCTACTGCACCTCCTATGTGACTTCATTAATAAACCCACCAAATCCATTGCCAAGTCAATGACGACTCATAGCAACCCAATAGGACAGAACAGAACCGTCCCATAAGGTTTCCAAGGCTGCAAACTTTGCAGGCGTGCTCTGGTGGTGCGATGGTTAAGAGTTCAACTGCAACCAAAAGGTTGATAGTTTGAAGTCACCAGCTGCTCTGTGAGAGAAAGATATGACAGTTTGATTCCATAAAGATTACATGTTTGGAAATCCTATGGGGCAGACAATTCTATTCTGTCCTATAGAGTCACTATGAGTCAGAACTGACTTGACTGTAATGAGTTTTTGGTAATCTTTATGGAAGCAAATTACCACATCCTTCGCCTGCAGGGAAGCTGGTGGGTTCAAACCATCGAACTCTTTGGTTAGTAGCCAAGCACTTAACCACTGTGTCCCCAGGGCTCTTTGACTTCATTAATACTGCCTTCTAATTTACAAATTCTTTTTGACTAAGTTCAGCTTAGTGTCCCATCTATTGCTTTTTATATCTATACATTTTAAATCACTTCTACCCACTTTTGTTTCAGTTTCATCTGAACATATATGTTCACTAATTTCATCCTAACATTCTGAGAAGCAAAAGGGGGAAAAACAGTCAGTGTTTTATAAAATTAATTTAATTGGAGTGACTTCATGTTCCAATTGCTGAATTTCTTTTAAATATCGTATTTAATCATATGTCACACTATATTTTATTTTTTTTCTGTTCTTTCATCTTGGGCTTTACTTCTATCTCTCCAGTACTTTTTGAGTAATTTTCAGCAGACTTTCCAGGCCTCAAGAAGCATTTTGCTACAGTTTTTACTCCCTACCTAAGCTGCTGCTGCTTTTTTTTTTTTTTTTAAAATTGTGATTACCTAAGCTTCTTTATAGGAGCTCTGGTAGCATAGTGCCTAAGACACTTGACTGCTAACCAGAAGGCTGGCGGTTCAAATCCACCAGCCACTCCTCAGAAGGAAGATAGGGCAATCTACTTCCATAGTGATACTGCCTCAGAAACCCAAGGAGGGGTCACCATGAGATGGGTCCGACTCGACGGCACATAACAACAACACAACAACAAGCTTCTTTATAGGAACAGAGGGGTATTCTACTCCAGCAGTTAAATGTTAAGCCATAAGCCTGGCTCTATCGACATCTTGCAGCTTTGATCTCTATTTTCCTTTTACTCTAAAGGACTTACCTCCTGGATGATACTGCTACTCCCAGATCTAGGACTCTGTATGTCTCTTTTCAGTACCCTCATTCACTTAACATTTTTTGTGCTTTTTCTTATCCATTCAAATTGTTCTCCTGGTAAGTTTGGTTATATCTTTTTATATTTCTCTCTTCTATAATCTCTCATTATTATGTGCTTGAAACAGAGAGGTATGTTATCTTGACTGTAAGCTCTGAATACGCTATTAAAATTCTAGTAGACTTTTCCTTCAATTTTATAAAACAAAGAGCTATATATTCCACTATTAAGATACCAAGAATATTATTTTTAATCATAAGATATTCAAATGAAAGTAGAGAGACTTCTTCATACAACTCTGTTATATTACCGAATTGGCTGTAGTTGGTTAGAGTTCCTTCTACCAAGTTTCCTTTCTATCATGTCATAGTGGGTCAAAAGCACGAATAATTTTTCACATGCATAGTGATTGGGCCACTCCAGTTTTTCAAAGGTAAATCTCTGTAAATGTAATAAAAATAAAACAAGATTTTGTTGTTACCACTTGGAGATAAAAATCACTCTCAGATTGTTTTTTACTGCACAATTAACATTATTAATATCAATGGGGATATTACCAAAAGAACACTGAGTCTCCTAAGGAGGGAATGTTGGATAAGTGTGAGAACTCTTGGTTTGAATCCCAGTCTGATATTTCTAGATGTTACATATATTACTTAATTTCTCTCAGCCTCAGTTTTCCAACTGAAAAATGGAAATAATATAACCCAATTCACAGATTATGAAGATGAAATGAGATTACACGTAATGTGTTAAATATAATAGCAAATTTTAAGTGTCCAATACATGCTATCATTGTTATTATTATTAGTGATAAGCAGAAAGCAGTAAAATTTATTAAGCTAGTCTGTGCCCCTAGATACTACACTGGGGGCTTCTATACATGATCTCATTGAATCCTCATGGTGACTTCATGAGATAAGAAATATTTCTTATTTACTTCTTACTTTGAGGTTAACAGCTATCCAATAAGTAAGGGAGAAAGACATAGCAATCAGTCTCCGTAAAGATCTACAGCCTTGGAAACCCTATGGGGACAGTTCTCTGTCCAACAGGGTTACAATGAGTTAGAACTGACTCTGTGGCAGTGGGTTTTGGTTCTAGAAGTAAAGACTTTCCAAGTTTAAACTTAGGCCACTGATTACAAATCCCAATGCCCTTGTAAACAGCACTGTCTTCCATAGTAATATATTTGATCTTTGACATTCTCTGGTTATTAGCCCCTTTCCCTCTCACATCTCCCTGGTTACAGTACATTGGTGTCTGTACTTGGTATTTAAGGTGCCTTCTAAAGAACAGCATAATTGTGGTTTGTTTATCATCTGCAAAGTATGGCCACTGTGTGGCAAAGGAGGAAGAATTAGAAATAAATGCTGAAAAATATGGGCAGTAAATAGCTGCTTGGTTCAAATCTACTCTCAGAACAATCTCAGTACTTAACTTCATACTAGCCAAAAAAATCCAAATTTACTGCTGTCAAGTCAATTCCGACTCATAGCAACTCCTCCTTGGGTTTCCGAGTCAGCATCTCTATGGAAGTAGATTGCCCAGTCTCCCAAGGAGTTGCTGGTGGGTTTGAACCATCAGCCTTCTGGTTAGCAGTCAAATGCCTTAGGCACTATGTCACCAGAGCTCCCAACTTCGTACTACAAAATAAAAATTTATTTTCAAATACCTGAAACAATAATAAATCAGGTCTTTGGTACCTGATTCCATTCAGCAACTTATCCTTGTTCAAAAGGAATTCTTGGACAACCTAGCAAGGGAAAATAAAATAAGCATTGAGACTTTAAACTTTTTAAATAATTTTCTGAAATAAATGCACAGTTGAATTATCAGTTATTACCTCATGGAATGGGAATCCCTCACAGCTGCAAGCTTTTCTGAAAATAAATTACATACCTATTATCAATAAAATCAGGCAATTCTAGAAAAACTCTAAAATCATCTCATCTAACCTCTTCCCATTTAATGAAGAATTTTCTTGTCCCATATCCTAAATAGCCAGCATGCTTGTCTTTGAATAACTACCTTCTGAGGCTAAGTTTTTGCTAAATTAGATATGGGGAACATTACATAGAAATAATTCAACCACAAGTGTATAAAAGAGGTCATGGTAGAATAAAATGGGTCGTAAAAAACTTACTTCTTAATACTATTCTCTGCTGCGTTTCGTTGTCTATCACGTTCTGTGTGGTGCCACTCACATGGACAGCAGTACTCATAATCGTGTGGTTCACAGTATCTATCACTTTTACACAATTTGCATCCATTATGTTCATGATCCTTAGGTGAACCTTTATGGAGACACAGGTAATTATGGTTTCTAGCATTTTTTAGAATTACTTTCTACATACATATTTTTGGCCTTTATCCAAATTTTCAAAAAATAATACTGCCTAGTACAGTATCTAGCATATACAAGACTTTTAACACATTTTGGTTGAATAGAGTAGTGGACATCACTTAGAAATTGGAAATTCTTAGAAAGTGGATCTTGAGTTGTTACTATACCATGACATTATTATTATTTATATATTGGTAAATTATTCTTCTGTCTGAAAGCATTAATTTGAACTTGGAACTATACATTTACAATAATGAAAAATGGAAATCTGTGTGGTTTATTTGGTAACTACAAGCAAAAAAAGTAGGATGTAATTATTAGTATTAAGATGATTTATTTAATAGAATAATTCATAAAATGGTTTAAGTTAATTACTTTTGCAGTTATCTTTCCAGTTGCCTGTACAGTTATTTTTAAACTATACTTGGAACATGAGTAAATTATAATTGCAGCACAGGGGAAGGGCACTAGTTCACTTTAAAAAGAAAACACTAATTTCAGTATTGTTTTGAGAATACAGAAAAGTTGACATGACCTAAAATTGTCATTTATAAGGTATCTAAAAAATATACAATAGGACCCATTCTGCATAAACATTTATTTTCTTCCACAGTTCACTTAACAAGGTTAATAAAAACATATTCAGAGAAATGACCACAGCAGAATTTCTTTTAAAGAATGAACTAACATGATCTCCTAATTCTTCTATGAGTGAAAGGATTTTTGTTCCCAAAACTTAATGAAGAGAGTCCAAGCTATTTTCAATAATATAGACGTTTTTACCTCATATACAATAAAAAACAAATGATAGGACTATTAAGTATCATTTAAGTATATTAATTAATATAAATCACTGATATAAAAACAAATGGTTTCAGTTCCATTTTTCTGAGACTTATACTCTACGATCTTTTATTCTTTTTTTTTTTCACATATACTGTCTCACGTCATTGACAAAAATTTACAATGCAGCAGCTCCCCTCCCACTTCCTCCCCATAGTTACCTCTTCCCAGTGTCCATCCTTCCATACTCTTCTGTGCCCTGAGCTGTCTCCCTGTGCATACAAAGCCCTTCCTTCTCCCATGATTGTTCTCTCCAGGGCGTGTGTCTACTTGAGGTAAATGTTTAACT